TTTCTTGTTAATAATTTGAATTAAATTTCAAATTTATATAATTTCCCCAGATTGCCTAAAATTTAACTTTTTCAGCAAAATTTTTTTCATCAACTATACAAGTTAATGTGCTAAATTGATCAGGGAACTGAAACGGTTAAGCAACTCTTCTTGGGAACTTTATTTCATTTCAATTAAAAAAGTATGCATGGGTTCAACTGAATTACCGATCTCCAAGAAAATGATGATTTGGACATCTAGACCATATAGGAACTTAGATTTGCAAATTCTGGATCAAGTCTTATCTTTGTATTACATCTTCATAGGACTTTTACCAGGCAACAATGTTGAGTAAATCAAGTTTGTGACTATCAAGTATATTATTAAAATACTTAAAATTAATGAAATCAACTTTAAAGTACACAATTAGTACTTTAATAACTCAGATGATATTTTCTTTCCAACCAACCTAATGTCATGAGGTTCATGGTAGTTTCCCCTTAATTTTTTGTGAAGTAAACCATGATCACTCAGGGCTTCTTGAAGGTAGCTAAAACCAACACCGGCACAAAGGTGAAATGTGATCCTTTGAGCCTGCTCTTTATAGAACAGGATAAATTCTGACCCTACACAGATAATCTGGACTTCAGATAATCTCTGACAGGTAATTTTTAATTGATTGTACAGAGTTGTAATTGTGATAAGTGGATTTAACTTTCAAAATAGAAAATGAAAAGCCAAGATATTGATAATGATCTGTGTCATATACGGTGATATTTATGATGAAACCTTATCAATTCGAGTCATTAGGTAAAGCAAAATGTCAATTTTCTTGTCACTTTTCAAATAGTTTTCAACATCAGATACTTTGAACCATAATACAGAACCCTCCTATATAGAAGTCAACTGTTTAACAATTTAGAATTGCTGTTTTCCTCCCTTATCCCTACGACAATTCTCCTTCCTTTTGACCTTTTTATTTCTAAAGATGTGTCCTTTGATGGTGATAAATGGAATGGGATGAAATTCAAATGAACACTTATACTCATGGCAATTCTGGCAAAAGTATGGATGGGGAGGGGTGGGAAGTGATTCGATACAATTAGCACCAAGTATATGTCCATGAACAGAGATTTCTCTCAATGAATCCTTAATTAATTAATTAATGAGGGACTCAATCAATTTCTGCCTTCTGGCCATTATCACATATAATCAGAACTTGACTGTAACTAGAAAACCATGTGAAACTACCAGTAACCGCAAATTATATTTTAAAAAATTAATGGGAGCGTAAATGCCCACTCTAAACGCACATGTGCTTTATTTTTCCAGTCTCACAAAGTATTTGAAAACCACAGCTGTTGATAATGCTTTAGATTTGCCAGATCCTGTAACAGTGCACTTGTTTTGCCTTGAACATGGCATTTATACCACATTAAAGTTTGGCAAGCTTAATCTTTGCTAACCACGGGCAAATGGGAACACGCTACAAAATGTAAAAATACATTTCAGCCAAAGCCATTATCAAGTATATGTTTGTTTTGATTTGACTAAGAACCTCTAATTTGTTCACGCACACTTGGCATCTCTACATTCTGTGTACCGATTATGCTTGCGATGAATGTATCACATGCCTAACAGTCGAAGAAAGCTCTAAGCAAAGGAGAGGAGGAAAAGAGAGGGGAGAGGAAAAAGTCCTATTTCACTTCTGTTGGAGTGAGGATGCACCTCCGTAAACTCTTGGGGGGAACTCTTCCTGTGGCTCTGTGTCCCCCTGCCCTGCCTGATGCCCCACACTAGAAGTATTCTTGAGTAGTTGGCGAATTCTCTTTCATATCATCACATAGGAGAATCTACCCTTGCATTTATCTGGCTACAAGCCTCATAATAGAATAAAACTATGTTATCTGGCTGTTTACCAACACAGAGCTCAAGAAAACCATCATCTCTGATATTCAAACATAATGAAGTTCTTCAGTCTGGCAATCCACCCCAACCATAGAGGCCGAAGAGGTATAGGTGGTACATGATATTGGCATTACTGTCCTGTTTTGTTCATCCACTGATGGAGACAAAGCCAGAGCAACATGTGCTGCAGGACGGAGTTTGTGACTTAGTCCCAGGCCCTCCCCAAGGGCCATCACAAAATACTTTCATTAAACTCCCACTATTGGCTACCTTTCTCATTGATTCACCACAAAACCTTTCAAATAGGGCATCTCACATTTGTCTCGTGACATGTGTCAAGTAGAATCAGTAGAAGTTACGTGATCACAATTTTCATCGCATAGACTCTAAAGGAAAGGTCAGCTTCACAGCAGGACCAAAATTGACGCCCGTTCCCCAAAGCTCGCCATCCACGCCTACCTTTCAGTGTCTCGTGACAGGAACCACCTTCTAGGCATCCTTTTTCAGTGCCCAGTAAGTGGACACGTGATATGAATAAACACCAAACACAAATGTACCCACATTCTGCGTTTCAACTGGATTTAGCTCTACAGAGGAAATAAATCGACCCCCTGGAACAACCCCCCAAAACAAAGAAACAGACCGTTTTCCTAATGGTCATTGACTCCCTCACTCATTTATTCAGTAATTTTTGAGCTTTCACTAAGTGCTAGGTGCTATCTTTGACACTGTTCACTTCAGGCACAGTGAATGAGATGACCTGTAAAAGTATTTAGCTCAGTGCCTGGTGTGTGAGAGGCAAGCAACAAAATTAGACCTCCTTCCTTCTTAAATTTTTATCCTTGAACTCATCAATCATATGCAACCTGAAGAAAATGATTTGCTTCCAATCCAGTCTCATCATCCCTTTAAATCTACCCCCCGTGCAGTTACACACTGTGAAGTTTAGCATGAGCTATTGAACCAGGGAGAATAAACCACCTGCAGGCAGAATCACGGCTTGTGATTCCATTTTTTGTTGTAATAGAGGAGAGGAAAAGGTCAGTGAAGTGTTCCAGTATTACTAGGCTGTATCTGTAAACACACATACACAGACACTTTTGGAAGGTTCCATTGTTAATCTAGGCAAATAGCTTTGCAGTTGCCAATAAGCATTTACTATCCTCTCTGAGTGTTTGAATTTAACTTTTATTTACAAGCAACTTATATAAATAGACACAACCTTAAAGCCGACACTTTCTGCGCCATCTTGCATCCTATTTGCCATTTTTTTTTTCCTCGGCTCCCAAGACTAGGTCATAGATGGAGGAAAAACCAATCTGAGACATCATCAATTTTTCACTTTCAGCAGTTTTTATGCCAAATGCCACCATCAGATTGATCATTGCCACGTGGCAACCCACACTAATCCCCAAGGCATCCACAGTGGACGGACCCTGACACAAAACACACATAAAAGTAGTTGCAGGTCCGAGATATTTAAAGAACTCATCTATGACCTCTACTGGCCAAGCTAGTAAAACACAACAGCTACCATGATTTTGGAAGTGTCCTCCTATTTTCATTCATTCATTTAACAGATACTTTTTAGCACCTACTACGTGCCAGGCACTGTTTAAGGAAGGACAATGACAATAAACAAAACAAAAAAACCCCCTTCCCTCCTAACATTCAGCTGGGCAGCATTTAAACTGTATGCATTATAAATAAGTTAACTGTATTTTGGAAGGTAATAATGGCTTTTAAAAAGAAGAAAAAGTAAATCAAAGTAAAGGGAATCAAAAGCACTGAGGAGGTGGAGCTGGAGAAGCAGGTTTCAGAGTTAAATTGGACCCTCAAGAGAAGTGTCAGTGCAAGGGTAGAATTAAGCAAAGACTCCAAGGAGGCGAGAACCTTAGCAACTTAAGACCTAACACATAGGTTCTTAAATTCGTTAAATTAGACATCACCCTGGGAGCAGGGTTCTTTTTCAGTTTCCAGAGAGATTTTGGAGTCAGTCAGACTTGTGTTCAATCCTGTATGGGTCAGCTTTGCTGCAGCAACAAACAACCCCTAATTCTCATTGGTTTAAAGCAGGGGTCCCCAACCCTGGGACCACCGACAGGTACTGGTCGGCGGCCTGTTAGGAACCGGGCGCACAGGAGGTGAGCGGCAGGAGAGCGAGCAAAGCTCGCATTGCCACCTGAGCTCCGCCTCCTGACAGATCAGCAGCATTAGATTCTCACAGGAGCGCAAACCCTACTGTGAACTGCACATGCGGAGGATCTAGGTTGCGCCCTCCTTATGAGACTTTAATGCCTGATGATCTGAGAGGGAGCTGAGACAGTGATGCTAGCGCTGGGGAGCGGCTGCAAATACAGATTATCATTAGCAGAGAGGTTTGACTGCACGGAGACCATAATAAGTCAATTGCTTGCACACGCACATCAAAAGCCTATCAGTTAAAAAAAAAAAAAACAAAACCCTATCAGTGAGTGGCAAGTGAAAACAAGCTCAGGGCTCCCACTGATTCTGCATTATGGTGAGATGTATAATTATTTCATTATATAGTACAATGTAATAATAATAGAAATAAAGTGCACAATAAATGTAATGGGCTTGAATCATCCTGAAACCAACCCCCGCCCTGGGTCTATGGAAAAATTTTCTTCCACGAAACTGGTCCCTGGTGCCAAAAAAGCTGGGGGACGCTGGCTTAAAGGACAAATATTTATTTTTTGCTCGTGTTTCACATGGGCTGCAGGCTAACTGTGGGTCAGTTGTGACTGACAGGCTTGGCCCTGCTCCACATGTGTCCTATTCCAGGGGCAGGGCTGGAGGGACGGCTACCGTCTCAGTTATGGTATCCCCACAGAGGAGGTCAGGGCTGAAGTGCATCTAATCGCAGCACGGAACTTAAAACTTTTGCTCTCATGGGGTACCGATCAAGTTCATTCACGTTCCATTGACCAAAGAAAGTCGAAGTGGCCGAGCCCAAAGTCAGTGAGGGCAGGAGAGTGAGTGTATACGTGGCCCAGACACAGAAGTATGGCAAGGGCAAGGAGGGAGTGAATAATTGTGAACAAATAATACAACGTAACTGTAATGAGTCACTCAATCTCTCTGAACCTTACCTTGTCCGTCGGTGAAACAGGAATAAGAACAGGCTACCTGTGAAGAATAAATGAGATATTATAAATGTACTCAGTACAGTAACTGACTTATAATAAGGGATCAATAAAAGTTAATATCCTTTTGTTGCCTTCCTCCAAAGGTGGCATCATCACTCTGGCCCAATTCCTTTCGAGGCTTAAGAAGGTATGGGGGCTGAGGTAGGAGGGTGTCGGGGGGATGTGTTGGAAAATTGAGGAGCCTGGGACTGAAATGCGGATTCAGTTCTTGCTCTAAATCCTGGATAAATTACTGATCTATAAAACAAGGCATCTGTCTAAATGATCTCTAAGGTTCCTTTCTGGTGCTAAAGATCCTCAGTTTGGGATAAAACATTTATAGTGGGTTCTTCCTTTTTCTCTAGAGCCACTGCTGCTTAGTCCTAACACCAGGTGGCGCTAGAAAACAACTTAATGGAAAAGGACAAAGGCTTTTCTGGGGTGAAGGTTGGAGAGTCTAGAAAGTTACTATTTTCTTCTTATAGACTGTTATAAAGCAGAACTCCTGCATCTGGTAGTTGCTCAGAAAGCACCACTTTGAGGAAACAGCACCCAGAAACAAAATGCTCACTCTAGTCCTAGGACCTCAGGCTTTGGGAAAGGACCCCAGGAAACTGGGGACTGCCCCAGACAGTTTCTAGGCTTTGATTTTGGAATAGGGGAGCTTCTCTGTTTTTGAGCAGAAGCATGAGGTAATTGGAGCTGTGCTCTAGGATGATACATCTAGTTGCCACGTGATGGGAGTGTTTGGCACAGGGGAGAATTGTTTGGGAGACTCTTATGACAGAAAAGAATCCACATACACGGGTCTGAAATAGAAGAGTGGGGACTTCCCTGGTGGTCCAGTGGTTAGGACTCCGCACTCCCAATGCAGGGGGCACGGGTTCAATCCCTGGTCAGGGAACTAAGATCCCACATGCCGCATGGCGTGGCCAAAGGAAAGAAAAAGAAATAGAAGAGTGGGAGTGAGCATAGCAATGGGTGAGATGTTACAGCAACAGAATCTCTAGAACTCGGCAACTGTTTAAATAAAGAGGCTTCAAGTAGGATAAGTCATTATGAAAGACAACTCCTGGATAAGTAGGAAAATGTTGGGGCCACTGACAGAAAACACATGACTTTGGGTGGCAGCATTACTGTTACTCCTGCACTTCACGTGTACACCCAGAAGGAACCATGAAGGCTTCTCCCTCATAGGTACTGAGGAATCCCTGGTGCACGAGCTTTGGTCCTAAAAGGGCCAGACTTGGCCTTTTCTCAAGAAATGTTTTCTTGGGCTTCCCTGGTGGTACAGTGGTTGAGAGTCCGTCTGCCGATGCAGGGGACATGGGTTCGTGCCCCGATCCGGGAAGATCCCACATGCCGCGGAGCAGCTAAGCCCGTGAGCCATGGCCACTGAGCCTGTGCGTCCGTAGCCTGTGCTCCGCAACGGGAAAGGCCACAACAGTGAGAGGCCCGCGTACCAAAAAAAAAAAAAAAAAAAAAAAAAGTTTTCTTACACATGATTTTATTTTACTTACAAAATCCAGAGGCATTTCTCTGTTGATAATGGGGACAGGGGATGTATAGGAAATCTCTGTACCTTTCACTCAGTTTTGCTGTGAGCCTAAAACTGCTGTTAAAAAAAAAAAGGAAATCTGTTTTTTAAACTCTTGGCAGATTCTGGGAAGATGGTGCAGTAGGAAGCACTAAGAATCCGTCTCCCCCACTCCCAGACAAAAATTGCACTGGCAGAAATCTGTCTGATGTAACTATTATGGAACTCTGGACAGCTTACTGAAGGCTTGCAATGTCCAGGGGAAGACTTGGACTGTTCATTTTGGCCAGTTTCAGCTCTCAGCACAGCAGCAGCTACCCATCCCCAACCCCATGGCAGGCAGCTGTGCATGGTTCCTGGAGCAGCTTTGCACAGCTTGCAGGAGCCTGGGTGGGCAAAAAGGACATCAGTGATCTGTGCTCTGGTCACTGGTGACTGCTTCTGATCACAGAGGGGCAGACAAAGAGGCAATGCCCATTGTTGTAGCCCCTCCCCCACCAATAGAAGTCCCTCCTCATCTGGCTGAAGTGACAGCCAGGAGATTTAAGGGACAGTGCCCTTTTTAAACCCCCTTTATTTTTCTTTTTCCCCTTTTGGTAGTCAGATATTAAAGACTAGACTATTAAAAAATGACTACATATATGGGGAAAATTAGAAAGTGACTGTGCATGGCCAAGGAAAGTCTCAGAAAAGACCTAAGAATACCTTAAGTTTACACCTGAGACACGCTCAGCTGAGATACAGTCTATGGAATCAAAAAAAAAAAAAAACAATAAACAAACAGTGACAAAAAACAGCAAACCCTGGGAGAAGGCAGAGAATATAATTTCCAGAGTTACCACATTATTAGATTCAACTGTCCAGTTTTCAACCCAGAAATATCACAAGGCATACAAAGAAACAGGGAAGTATGGCCCATTCAAAGAAATAAAATAGGTCGATAGAATCTGTCCCTGAAAAAGATCCAATAGAAGAAATATTAGACAAAGACTTTAAAACAGCTACATAAAAATGTTCAAAGAACTAAAGGAACATGTGGAGAAAGTCAAGAAAACAATGTATGATCAAAATGAAAATATCAGTAAAGAGACAGAAAATCTGGAAAGAGGTCAGAAGGAAATTCTGGAGCTGAAAAGTAAAATAACTGAAATTAAAAATTCACTAGAGAAATTCAAATGCAGATTTGAGCAGGCAGAAGAAAGAATCAGCAAACTTAAAGAAAGGACAAAGGGAATGATCAAGTATGAGGAACAGAAAGTAAAGAGACTGAAGAAAAGTGAACAGAACCTAAGGGACCTGAGGCACCAAAAAGCAGACCAACACCACACAGTGGGAATCCCAGAAAGAGAAGAGAGAGAGAAAACGGCAGAGAGGGTATCTGAAGAAATAATGGCTGAAAACTTCCCAAACTTGGTGAAAAACATGAATATAAATATCCAACAGGGGACTTCCCTGGCAGTCCAGTGGTTAAGACTCCACGCTTCCACTGCAGGGAGCATGGGTTCAATCCCTGGTCAGGGAACTAAGATCCCACATGATGTGTGGTGTGGCCAAAAAAAAAAAAATCAAGAAAAAAATATCCAACAGGCTCAACAAGCTCCAAGTAAGATGAACTGAAAGCCAAAGAAAAAGAGAAAATCTGGAAACCAGCAAGAGAGAAGCAAATAATCACATACAAGGGATCCTCAATAGGATTATCAGCAGATTTCTCATCAGAATCATTGGAGACCATAAGGCAGTGGGCTGATATAGTCAAAATGCTAAAAGAAAAGAAACCGTCAACCAAGAATTCTATGTCTAGCAAAACTGCCCTTTGAAAGTAAGGGAGAAATTAAGACATCAAGGTAAAAGCGAGAGAGTTTGTTACCAGTGGACCTGTCCTGCAAGAAATGCTCAAGAGTCCTGCAAGAAATAAAAAGACACTAGAAGCCATAACAGTAACTCAAATCTATATGGAGAAATCAAGATCTCAATAAAGGTAAATACATGGATAATTATCAAAGCTAGTATTATTGTAACAATGGTTTGTAACTCCACTTTTTGCTTTCTACATGATTTAGGAGACTACTGAATTTTAAAAATATATTAGTTTATGTTTTGGGGCACACAACGTAGAAAGATGTAATTTTATGACATCAACAGCTGAAAGGGATGGGGATGAAGCTGTAAAGGAGCAGAGTTTGGGTACGTTATTGAAGTTAGGCTGGTATAAATTCAAACTATACTGTTATAACTTTAGGATGTTAAACGTAATCCTTGTGGTAACCACAAAGAAAACAGCTATAGAATATACACAAAAGGAAATGAGAAAGGAATTTAAACATCTCACTATAAAAAATCAACTGAACACAAAAGACTAACACAGGAAATGAGCAATAAAAAAGCTACAAGGCATTTAGGAAACAAATAGGAAAATCACAGAAGTAAATCTCTCCTTATCAGTAATTACTTTAAGTGTAAATAGTTTAAACTCTTCAATCAAAAGACAGAGATTGGCAAAATTGATAAAAACACATGATACACCTATATCTACGAGACCCACTTTCGATCCAAAGACACAAATAGAAGGAAAAGAAAGGATGGAAAAAGTTACTCCATGTAAATAGCAACCAAAAGAGAGCATGGGTGGATATAAAAATATCTGACAAAATACGTAAAATTCAAAAAGTTTACAGCAAAGAAAGACACTGTATATTAATAAAAGTTTCAATAAAGCAAGAAGATAAAACAATTATAAACATTTGTGCATCAAAATATATGAAATTAAAACTGACAGAATTGAAGGGAGAAATAAAACAATTTTACAATAGCTGGATGCTTCATGATCCATTATCACAATAATGGATAAAACAACCAGACAGCACCTTACTGTACAGCAGAAACTAACACAACATTTTAAGTCAACTATACTCCAATAAAAAAAAAAAAAAAAAAACCAAAAAAACAGACAGAAGATAAGAAAGGAAATAGACACTTAACAATACAATAGATCAACTAGATCTAACAAACACAACAATAGCATGCATATTCTTCTCAGGTGCGCATAGGCTATCCCCCAGGATATAGGTTAGGCCACAAATGAAGTCTCAGATTTTGAAAGATGGATATCATACAAAATATCTTCTCCAACCCCAATGCATAGAAGTTAGAAATCAACAACAGAAGGAAAACTAAAAAATTCACAAAATTGTGGAAATTAAACAATACACTCCAACAACCAATGGATCAAAGAAGAAAATACCAAAAAAATTAGAAAATACTTACAGACTAATGAAAACAAAAACACAACATGCCAAAAGTTATGGGATGAAATGTAAGTGTTGCTAATTGGGAAAGTTATAGCCATAAACACTTACTTTAAAAATAAGAAAGAACAACTCAACAAATTAAAAAAACCGAACCAAATAGAAAAATGGGCAGGAGACTTAAATAGACATTTCTCCAAAGAAGCTCAACATCACCAA